ACTATTGGAAAGATTCAGTGGGATGCTATTGATAGGATCCAACACATTTTGTTATTGACTGTTAATCTCGCATATATGGTATATCATCATTCCCACACATTTTGTTATTGACTGTTAATCTCGCATATATGGTATATCATCATTTCTCACGCACTTTGTTATTGACTATTACGATCAATTATTTCAAATGCTGTTGGCTGTCTATATTGTTGTAAAATGTATAAATACCATGACTTTCTTTGTCGTTGTTGTTGTACTACAATACACAGTCACAGTCCAGTCTTTGTCTTTTGATATTTGCGTGCTTCACTGAATCGGAAGGTACCACAAGCAGATAGGCATATTAGTCAGGCGCAGACAGAACAAGGCGACAACGTCCTCATTTAATTCCCTACAGTTATAACAAATTGGCGACGGGGTTTTACCTTAATTCATTGCAGCTATAACAAGCAAGCGACGACGGGTTTTATTCTGTTCAGCGCAGCTATAGAACATTTTTGACTGTGTTAATTACAACCCAATTACAATGTCTATCTCTCTGGACGATCTCAAATCTATCTTGCAGCAGCAGCAAGTTCAGAATGAAGCAGCTCAACTAAAATTAATCGAAGCTCTCACTCAGAAGCTGTCCATTCAAGTTCCATCAACATCTCATTCAGACAAATATGAAAGCATCTCAAATTCCATCAGTGAGTTCAACTACGACCCAATATCTGGTCTCGTATTTGATGCATGGTTCAATCGTTACGAAGACGTTTTCCGTATTGAATGCTACATGTTTGATGATGCTGCCAAAGTCCGATTGTTACTAAGAAAACTTGGTACTGTTGAGCACAACAGATATGTTAACTTCATTCTGCCCAAGAACCCACGTGAGTTATCATTCGATGAGACAGTCACCGTTTTATCACAAATCTTTGGTGAACAGTCATCCATGTTTAATATTCGGTATCAATGTTTTCAGTTGACAAAAATGCCTTCCGATGATTATGTCACTTACGCTGGCAAAGTGAACAAGGAATGTGAAAGGTTCAAACCACACGAAATGACATCAGATCAGTTCAAGTGTTTGATTTTTATTTGTGGGTTGAAGAACCCAGAAGATACTGACATAAGAACTCGACTTCTGTCACTCGTGGAACAAGACCCGAAAATGACTTTACAAATGGTGACAGCAGAATGCCTACGCTTAATCAACTTGAAGCACGATACTGCTATGGTGGAGTGCAAACGACAGTCGTCTGAATTTGGTTCAATTAACACAGTGAAAAGTCCTCCGATCACCGTTAAGCACACAGCACGTCAGTCTCAGAATTCAGCTAAACCTCCTTCAGTGTGCTGGCACTGTGGTTCGTGGCATTTTGTCAAGTTCTGTCCTTTCAAGAAACATAAATGCCGTAATTGTCACCGTTTTGGACATAAGGAGGGTTACTGTCCACCGCAGAAAAATCTTCGGTGAGGAACAGAAGTAGTCGTTTCAAGCCGAAACAATCTCCTCGAGTACAGACCATTTTCACAACTTCCAAAGTCGATTTCGCCAGCAAACGTAAGTACATTACACTAGGTATTAACGGCAAACATATTCGTCTTCAGTTGGATACGGCATCAGATATCACCTTAATTTCCCGAACTACGTGGCGCAAACTTGGTGCCCACAGATTCTGCCGACCGAGCATGTCGCCAAGAATGTCTCTGGAGATATACTGAAACTCGTGGGTGAGATAAATTGCCAGGTTCAGTTTGGTGAGCATCAGTTCAATGGTGTATGTTACGTCACAAACTACCATGATTTGAATTTGCTTGGTCTTGACTGGTTAGACAAGCTCCATATCTTCAATGTACCATTAAATTCAGTATGCTCTAATGTTTCGTCCTCACCACACAACGTTGTTCCCGGACATGTATCTGATCAATCTCTCTTGCAACGCCGTCGTCAAAAGCACGCTTCTGTCTTCCAGGACAAACTTGGTTGCTGCAAACTGTTTGGCATCCAGCATATTCGTAGCCCCCCGTATCATCCCCAATCGAATGGACAGGCTGAACGTTTCGTCGACACCTTTAAGCGTGCTTATGCAAAAGCGAAGGGGGAGGGAACAACAGAAGAAATTTTGGATAGATTCTTGCTGCATTATCGTACGACGCCAAATCCTTCCGCCCCAAATCAGTTATCCCCAGCGGAAATTATGTTTGGCCGGAAGATCAGAACTGCCCTCGACTCAATTAAGCCTAGGCAAGTAAAGCAGGGCTGCAGAAATACAAAAATGGAAAACCAATTCAATCGCCATCACGGAGCTAAACGTCGAGTTTTCAAATTGTATCAGCAAGTTTATGTACGAGATTTTCGCTATTCACCTCCGAGATGGATTCGAGGACAAATAGTGGGGCAGAAAGGAAGGGTTTTATACAAAGTGAATGTAGAAGGACAGTTATGTGTCAGACACACGAATCATATACGAGATGCGTCAGATAGACCCGACAATGGGAGACGAGACCTCACGTTAGAAGTATTAGTAGATACATTTAATCTTCCGCAGCCGGAAGCCCGGGACACAGATCACACTCTATCCAGTACCACGCGAAGGTCAACTCGACAAAGAAGAGCTCCGAAACCTTTTCAAATAGATCCAAAAAGCAAGTCCTACACTTTTTACGGGGAGAGGTGATAGGATCCCACACATTTTGTTATTGACTGTTAATCTCGCATATATGGTATATCATCATTTCTCACGCACTTTGTTATTGACTATTACGATCAATTATTTCAAATGCTGTTGGCTGTCTATATTGTTGTAAAATGTATAAATACCATGACTTTCTTTGTCGTTGTTGTTGTACTACAATACACAGTCACAGTCCAGTCTTTGTCTTTTGATATTTGCGTGCTTCCCTGAATCGGAAGGTACCACAAGCAGATAGGCACATTAGTCAGGCGCAGACAGAACAAGGCGACAACGTCCTCATCTAATTCCCTACCGTTATAACAGCTATGAATCACTTAGAATACGAGAAAAGTAACTTCGAACGATTTAAACTGTCCTTTATCAAACCAGAATGGGAAATGTTCAGTGACACGTTGGCTAATCTAACTAGTATTACTCTCAGGATTAGTGGAAATCGGCAGACAAATATTTCCATTCCATCTTCAATCTCAGGGATTGCGTCATTTGTAATCTGTAAATCTATGATTGTCCCATATAGTCTCATCATCAATTTCAAAATGATATTAGAAAAATTGGGAGTGAATACAGTAACTATTTTTCTCACTAAATTTGGAATACTAATGGCTTTAGTCGGTAGGTAGGATAAATGCTGAATAAAGGTATATGCATTTATGTGAATACAGCTCACGGACTAAGCAAATTTAACTGACAATTCAACTACTCTTTGGTTACACGTGAAATTAGAACTGTTAAGGCTCAAAGCAGTCTAATTACTGTTTATCATTCATTTTTATTTGTCAGCAGGGGGTATTTAACGTCTGTCACCAACAGATGAGGAAATGTTTACTGTATTCTTATCTTCTCCAAGAAATGTTGGTTAAAATATGTTGTGAAAAGCCACTATGTAAATTGAGCCAATTATTGTTATGGTTTTTCAAGTGTTGGTTACCACGGATTTGAATAATTTCAGGTTAGAACATATAATGACTCTGGGGAGTCCTGGATAGCTGTTTCCTCCTAGTTTGAGACTCTTCAGCCTTATTTAGCCACCAGCCTATGTAGGAGATCAAACCAGCACCATCAGATTACGAGACAAATCCCCGTAATCATTCATCCCATGAGAAAAAACCGAGTTATCTATAAACCATGTCTCCTAACATTTTGGGATACATAGCATCATCTCCAGTAAGTATCATTGATGAGTATATGTCTTCACATTCGAATTTGTGCATTTCACCGGAGACGACTTCTCACTAGAACTCCAGGCTACCACATCCAATAGTCAGCCACTAATGAACATTAGATTTTATTTTTGAATTTTGGTTTGCTGAAAGAGATGTCGCTGTAGGATTATTCGATTATGTAAGCTAGGTAGGTGTGCTGAACTTCACTATTCTTGTTGATGTCCTACATATAGTAACATAATAACAATAATATTATTTTTCATTCGCGGCTTTCTGCCTTGACTTTGTTTCCCGTCATCACCATCAACCGTCTACACGACTGTCCATAAGCTTTCATCTGCTTCATATTGGGGTGAGAGCAGGCTGCTAGCCAATTGGTAGACATTAATTTACGTCAATGTCTAGGTCACTAATATTAGCTGTGAGAAAATATGAACAAGGCTGATTCGACAACCAATCACAGCAGACTTAACGTGGGCAAATAAGATTCGCAGATTTATGGCGTAACTTTCCGAGAAACCAGAAACAACCAATAAGAAGACTGCGTTTATCTGCTTGAATAAGCTATAATAATGTACACGAAATATATATAAATACGTGTTGATTTCCGTAATAAAACGATCTGTTGCCTGGCCCTTGTCTTCTGTTGTTACAATATCACTATAAGACCCACATATCTAATCAATCACTACCATTTCGGCTTTCACTCCAGGGACAGGTGTGTAATGTCACTTGAATTTCCTTTTCAAATATAATGTTTGAGACCAGTTTCTATCTGTCTCTCTTAAACAGTCATTTATTAACGAATTATAACTTTTTGAATTGGAAATACAAATTTTTCTGCACTCACTGTCATCTTGGTTTATCATACGTTCTGGTCTACTAGTCATGCATACAGATATAAGTATACACTTGAACAGGTCAGGTGTCATATGTCTGCATATCTCTACAGTTTTTATGTAGGCTAAAAATGTAACCTGTTATAAAAAAAATGCAAACTTAAGATTCAAATTCAATAACATATATATATATATATATACATATATATATTTGATAATTTATTCTTGACATACACATAATATCGTCTTAGTATTTATAACTAAATGTTCAATAATCTGTTTTTTTATTCCACACTGAAATGTTGTTTGTATAGAATTTAGTCATTTCTTGGCGGTATTATTGTAGCAATTGAAATATGATTTAAATCTCTTTCACATTTATGTCCATCTAAATACGTATGACAACTGGCTTCATATTCCCTACCGAAATAAGAACTTGATGCATAAAATAAACAAAGAAAGAGAAATACACATTGATGAGATTAAATCAACCAAACATCAAAGAAATGAATAGTTACATTATATTGTAAAACAAAAGACAGATTTGAATAGCTGTTTGTTAAATATTCAATGGTTAATTTGTTGAGTTTAATTAAATAAGTTAAGTTAAATCGTATCAAAGCTATTCAATGTAGAGAAGTGATAACTAAAGAAATGCAGATTATTTAATAAAAAAATTGCCACAATGTAACTAATTTACTCTCCGAAAAACAAAGCAGATCCACAGAAATAAAAGAAGAAAGTTTATTTAAAATTAATCGAACTGAATTTTCACCACAGAAGTTTGCACAAAATGAACCAGTCTAAAGTTGTACACTTTATAAAGTAACACATAAACGTAGAGAGAAATGCAAAGAAACTTTGATAAATGGAACTTTAAGAGGAAACGAATGATTAAATGCGAAATAAAGATGTTTTGATGGATCTGAGGGTCAGTGAGATCAATATTGGGTTATCTCTGTAGTTACTGATCCTAAAGTTTACGAGGACCTTCAGTCAGGCAGTATGGATCTCCCTCTATGTCGCGCATCAACAGATCAAGACTTCATGGATTGATATCATTCACTCCTTACCCTTTTTAAGTCCAATTCTCTGTCAGCTAACATGATGATTAATTTCATTAGGTTGGAATAAAAATAACAAAATTCCATTAAACATCATCATTCTGAAACTGTTTACTGAGCATACGTTCTCAGGAAATAGATGTATACTATGATTAGTCACCAGGCAGTAACCATGTCATAAGCTTAATCCTTCGGTTGGTGCAGAATGAATTCTATCAGTCAAGTTTGCAATGTGATAAGTATTACGTGATTGACTAACTCAAGGCATAATAAAGTGATGTTAAATGATTGGAGGCAATAATCTTGTTAGAATTCGTCAGCAAAGAGTATCTGAAGTTTTGAAGGAACTCATGTCCTGTCTGAGACTCGAACTTGACTAACAGTGTTCAGTCTACACCACCCCAAGAACTAGGTCCATGGTTTTGGTAGTAATCAATCAATCAAAGTATGCATTGCAGTCCTACATGAGATCAGTCGCTAGCCCTAGGGGCATATTGGTGACGTTTGTACGCGTTTGTACTTACCGGAGAGGAGAGGAAGCATGGTATGCTCGCTGATCGACTCATTGAGAAACCTTACTTCTGTTACAAATCCTATTCATCAGCGACATCACCTTCTTGTTCAGACTCTGAAAGTAGTGTAAACTAATCACACAAGGATTTTATGTGTGATATCCAGACAATCTTTTTGACACAGAGACCGACAAGAACACTAGGTTTAGCCAGTGAAGCTAGATGGGTCATGAAGTTAAGCAAGTTTGACCATCAAATCGGGACAGCAGCTATCATTTGAGCACGTTTAAAATGGTAAAGTGGATAACAGAAAGACAGGAACGATGGTTCTTTGAACTAAAACTCCTGCTCAATTCGTTACACTTCAAAAGAGTACAAGAAAGTCAATACAACTTGGGCTCAGTAACATGGCTGGAGCAATATAGGAGGTTACAGGCTACAGACCCAACGGCTCACTGGTCCAAGTTTTTCTACCGAAGTACAATTTCCTTTCCAAGCTGCAATTACAACGTCACTGCTTTAAAATTATTTTTTCAAAATAAGACCTCACGTAGTTCTAATAATAGTTAAAATTAAAATTTTATGTTGACTGCTTATCAAGTTTTCTCATTTATGGTAATTCTTTTATTCATTAAGGATATTCATCACTTCAAGTCCAGTACTAACAGTATTTCTGCTGTTAGTATAATAAATTATTGTTATTCTCATATTGTTTGAAAGAATAGTGGAGCACTTTCAGGTCAAGTGTTACCATGACATTATTAGTTGTTTACATTGTCTACATTAAAACAAAAGCTCTCATTGAAAGCATTTAGTTACACCAAACACTATGAACTTAGGCTACATAAAATACATTTAACTTTATAGATAAACATATCAGTAGTATATTCCAAGACAAAAATTATTTTATTTGGAGCCAATTATTGTCGTCACTCCACCTAATATAATCAGTGGAAAAGAGGAAATTTCAATATGTTTCAATTTATTAGAAGTAATCATATTACAGCCAAATATTGGGTTATCCATTGCATTACTAGAATACATGGTCCTAATCTTCTGAACCATGTTCGAGTGTTGAAACCAAATTCAAACAGGAAAATCAAGACAATTATTCGGAGGTAGTTTTCTCGATAATATGCTGACTTATGACGCATAAGTGCTGCAACCCTCTCAAACAAACTAACTAACAGATCAGCGGAGAAGTAAATTTTCTTTCCACTCTTTCCGACTAGAATATGGAGCTTACATCTCCTTTAAAACGTAAGCAGTGGTGTACTGTTTTTACAGGTTGGGGTTGCTACCCTCGCTCTCTACCTCTGAGGACTCACTACCGACCAGTTAATTAGGCAAGATTTAGCAGTACTTTGGGCAAGCTATCAACTCGGACCACTTTAATGACAGGTGAACATTATACTGTTTAGCCGTAAAGTATTTAGTAAACTAAAACTATTTTAGAAATTATGAGGTAATTTAAAATACTCTAAAAATTCAAAATATTTTTATTTAAAGATATTCTTAATATGGTTGTGGCGAATTTAAAGTATTATAGCTAAAATCAAGGTCTATCAGAAGTTGAATTTCAGGAGCCAGTAAGATTTAGGGGAATCTACTGGAGGTCTTGCGTCAGTGGCATAGCGGTTAGGACGCTCGCTGACCATGCAGATGGTTCGGGGTTCGATACCCGGCTGAGGAATTCCTTCAACTCGCTAAGCCAGTAATAAAAACTGGTAAAGAGGAAAGGTTGGGCATGAGGTTAGCAACCCATCCTGTAAAAATAAACACTGCTACAGAAACTTCAAGCCTCTAGCTTGAAGCCCTATATTCCACTGGGGAACGTAAAGGAAAAACAACTGGAGGTCACTTCAAATCAATATATGTAATGCAAGAATATCCATTTGTGAGGGTAGGCATTTTTTGTCCTTCACGTTCCCAGTGGAACATAGGGCTTCAAGCTAGTAGCTTAAAGTTTCTGTAGCAGTGATTATTTCACAGGATGGGGTTGCTAGCCTCATGCCCAACCTTTCCTCTTTACCAACATTATTTCTGACTTAGTGAAGCAAAGGAGTGCGTTGGCAGGGGACCGAAACCTGGGTCATGTGCATGGTCGGCGAGCGTGCTAACCGTTGTGCCACCGACGCACCAGGGTAGACATAGTATTCTATTTATTCCTTAGGTACATTTTTCTGTTAATTTTTATGGTTAGGAGACAATTAACCAGTGTAACATCATGTTTTCAATGTTTCTCAATACATTTTTAACGACAATGCAACTTTTTTCAACCTAAATTCTGATTTGTTGTTCAAGATCACTGTAATTTTGGTTAGGATACTTTAACTTCGCCCATTTGTACGTACTATGGTTTGGATAAAGCAGTTCCAATTATAGAAAGAATTACTTGGTAAAATATTTCCAAACTCACGTAAAGAAGTTGACTAGAATGCAGTTTTTAAACTTAGGACTTTGCACAAACCTGCAGCATTTCAAGTTCAGAGATGAATACAACAGTTCATAAAGAGTAGATGTATGTGCAACATTGGTGGCCACTTCGAACCACTTCATTGACAGTATCCAGTCATTGGTTCTCAGAGTCTCCATAATCTGAGTCAACCAGTCTACATCTCCCTACTTGTCTCAAAGCAACAGCCAGCTAACTTCTTGGATTGACGTTTGGTTTTGGTTTGACCACCCGCACCTCTTTTTTAACCGAAATATATGTTAGCTAACACTGTTTGGAGAGTTGAGTGATTGCTTTATATGCCTAACACTTGTTACAACCGTCCCAGTTGATGTAGCTTCACAGCTTCATTGATTCAATTGCCCTTCTTACCTATCACCCTAAGCTTAACTACAATGTCACTAAGCATATTGTACCACTTAATACTAACAAAATAGTAAAAGTTGCATTCACATAATCTAGACCCTCCATTTCGCAAAACATAAACAACTGTATACAACAATGGCGAAATTAATAGAAATCAGTACTAGCCTATACTACAATAAACTTTATAATGAAAAATAAATAGAAAACTAACAAAGGCCAAGAAGATAATCCATTAAACGTCACTTTGCGCCTTAGCTTCTGCATAATCAGGAATGAAATCTTATTAAGATTGCCCTAAAACAAAACAGAAGTATTCAAATCACAGTTTTTAATATGCTTGTGATTTGAGTGGCACACAGGACTGTTTTATTCTTCGTACGAAGTATATTAAATTAGTGTGTTTGAATTGTTTAGTAAAAACAATTTTTGATTTTTACTTAATCACAATATTCCGTGAAATATCCGCTCCTAGGATGGAAGCTACGGCGAAAACTTGAGATGACTTACTTGGCTCAGGAGCCTAATGGACTGGGTTCAAGTCTGCATGGAAAAAAATCATCTACTGTGATATGTGGATTGATCGTCTTGTCTGGAAAACGGACTAGTCAGAGTTGTCTCATAGACACGCAGACAAATGGCAAGTATTGGAATTCATGGGCCTGTGGGTTGAATTACGGTGATTGAATGATCTACCAGCTTGCCTTGTAACCATAAGGTCCTCGTTTTGAACCCTACTGGGTGTGTACTATTAAAGAGTCCCAAACCAGGTCGGAACAGCCGCCATCCAGTACTCCTACGTTTTCCAAAGTTTCTCTAAATAATGTCAACTCATGACCATACCTGTAGACGGAAAAACAACTAGTGGATTTACCCGTTATAATGTCTATGTTACTGGCTCACGTATGTAGTATTTTTGATTTTATTTATTTCATATACATATATTCGTGAATCCTTGTGTAAATATACTTTTTCGATTGACGACGTTTTGTGTTCTCGGTCACGTAGCAATCTGAGAAATCAAGTAGCCGTTGTATAAAG